TCCGGCTTCCTCCCACAGTCCAAAGACATGCAGGTTAATTGGTGACTCTAAATTGGCCATAGGTGTGAATGTGAATGGTTGTCTGTCTCTATGTGTCAGCCCTGTGATAGTCTGGTGACCTGTCCAGGGTGTACCCTGCCTCTCACCCAATGTCAGCTGGGATAGGCTCCAGCCCCCCCGCGACCCCCAGCAGGATAAGCGGTTATGAAAATGGATGGATAACTGTAATGCAATCTGTCCTACCCCCTTTTACACTTCCTGTTTGAGGCAGGATGTCATGCCATTATTCCACCTCGTCATTCTGTATAAAAAGGTACAATCGACAGTGATGTCTGGCCTTTAAGCTGGCAGCAGCAGAGGTAGTATCAGCCCAGAATCAACATCTTTGTGTAAAAGGGACAGCAGGCAGGATGATTAATTGTTTAGAAAGTGCTGCCCAACACATATGTTGTATGTCACCCCAGAGGCTGGTGATGTTCCTGTCACACCCGTCATGCCTCTTTTGCTTGTGGGATGCCTGCATGCTATGTAAAATCACACACAGGGCTCACCTGGCAGAGCAGGCGCCCCATGTACTAAGGCTGTGTCCTTGCCGCAGGTTAAAATCCAGCCCCGTGGCCCTTTGCTGCACGTCATCCCTTCTCTCTCCTCATTTCACTCTAAAGCTGTCCTGTCCAATAAAGGCAAAATGCCCAAAAAGAAATCACACACTGGGGCGTCATGATGCCTGCATTGTTTGGTTCTGTATAAAAAAGCAAAGCCAGTGTAATGAGGGTTCTTTGTTGAGGCCCTATCGAGGACTTGACACACTCTTGTTTCTGAAAGCATATTGATTTAGATTAGAAACATGCATCTTCCTTAATTAGCATGTTATTTCACACAAAACATGATGTATGACATAATTTATAAGCACTAACAACTTTAATACAGATATTTTTTGAAGTAGTATTCAAGTGTCCCGCTGTGTCATGACAGTGCAACAGTGAATTAACATGCACAACACCAAGGAGCCTGAAACTAAAGCAGCTAAATGGAACTCAGCTATCATCCATTCTGCTATTTACACCCGTGTGTTTCTTGCTGTGGCTTGTCAAAATGTGTTTAAAAAAGAGCTTCATATTTCAAAATTTTCTCTGTGTTTGACGTCATTCGAAGCACTATTTTGAGGTGATAACGTGAAAACGAGGGCGAGACTTTAATTTGATGTTTTGACCTTTTCACTCTCTTTACAACCTGAGGACACGCTGCCACCTACACATCTGTGCATCCCTCCAGTGTCTCTGTCTGCTGTGGAGGATTTTCTGGGGATGTGACTCAGCACAGAGGGCGGCAGCATAATTAGCAGACATGCTAAAGCGAGCTTATCCCAGCGCTAGGCTTCTAACTCCATGACCTACTTTACAAAGAGGATTTTCCCCACCACTCACTCTGTCGGTGTGTCTGCTCACCACCGATAACTCTGTGTAACAAATTCACACGCACAAATACACACAAATGCCTGCACGCCAACACTTAGTCACGCACAGTCGGCCAAACACACACCCATAAATACAAACGGTATATAGGTATGTGTGAGTGTAAATACACACCTGCGCTTATAGAGTGACAGAGGGAGGTGCATCAAATGGGAGATCACACTCACGCACGCAGTATGAGTAATAAAGCCTGAAAGCCATGTCAAACCCTGAGCTGATGGTATATGATGCTTGTTATTCTGCCCATTGTGTCTTCTTGGCTTCTTACGAGTGTGTGTGAGATTGTGTGTGTGCACGGGTGTGTGTTTCATTCCGCTATTCTTTACGCAAGCCTGAGCACTCAAATCTAACTCACTCGTCTCCCTGGAGAGTGAGAGAGTGCTCGGCGTGAGAGGAATTCCTGTCTTATCTCCTTATTGGTGAAAAGCTCGTCTTGTCTTGTGTTGTTTGTTCCTGCATATTGCCCCATCCACCCCCCCTCCTAGGCTTGCTCCTGACAAACACCTCCCTCTGTTCCCCTCCATTCTCCTCTTCCCCGCTTTCTGACCCTCCTGAGGATTCTCCCCACCTTTCTTCACTTGGTGAAGCGCAGTCAACTGTGGAAGTTATTGACCAGCAAGGCGCTTAATGAGGCTGATAAAATGAGGGACCAGAGACCTCTAACTTTTTACAAGCACACCTCATTAAAGCTTCGAAAGCCAGAGATGGGAAAGAAGACAGAGAGAAGAGGGAGAGAGAGAGCGAAGCTTTCTTAAGCACACTAAAATTGGATTCTCATACATGGTTATTCCAGCTAGCTGTGAAGAAATTGAGAACGGGAATAAAGCATACGAGAGAGAAGTAAAGAGACGGAAAAGTTCTGAGTAGGAGGAGAGGTGCTGAGGCAGCCAGGGAGCTCAATGCAGAAACTTGCTTTAATCTACACATCAAATGAGAGGGGGGAAATGAGAGTGGCAGAGTGCCTTAGCTGGTTTCTGTGCTGCTGCGAGTGTGTGTGTGTGTGTGTGTGTGTGTGTGTCTGCGCACCTGTGTCTGCATGAACACATTTGTGTGTGTGTGTGTGTGCATGCAGGCAAAAGGCTGATTACAATAACAAAGAGCTAGCGGCTGGAAGCGATGTAGCAGCGTTTTACTCCGGCACAGCCTGGATCAGAGAAGAACCGCCAGATAATTAAAACCAATAAAAATCACACCATGTTCTGTTTTCACCCAAAGCTTTTTTTAACCAACCTTTCCTCATTGCTCCTTTGTTATTTTTATCTCTTTCTGTCTTTGTATGGATAACTGTCTGCTATGAGTTTAAAGGAGCCGTGTGCTGGATTTAGTGGCATCTAGCAGTGAGGATTGCAGATTGCAACCAGATAATACTCCTCCTGTGTGCCAAGTGTGAACTCCCAGTTAGGAATCCTTCAGGGTTCATTGTTCTGGAGGTTTTTACCGGAAGCTGAATTATCCACAGAGGACTTTTACTCTCCAAAACAAACAAACAAACCTGCAGAATTAAACTGAATAAAGCAGCTTCACGTTACAAATCTGTGTTTTTCTGGCGCTGTTTGGCTTGTCACAGGTTGCCTGTTAACTACGGTAGTTGACATGAAAATGTGAGTAGTGTTTGGTTTGTTCGATCTGGGCTACTGTAGGAACAGTGCAACATGCCGGACTCTGTAAACTTGGATCTGCCACCTATGTGGGTATACACGGCTCAGTCTAAGGTAAAACACAACCACTTATTTTCTAGTGATTACACACAAAAGAAAGCACATTTATTATATTTAATTTGTGCCAATATACTCCCCTAAATCCTTCACACTGGACCTTTAAACAAACACAATCTGTGCCAACAGTCCAAACAGGGGATGAACAGAGGTCAAATGTCACAAAAACAAAAGGAAAAGTCAATGACAGGGAAAGTCCTTTTTTATTTTAATAGACTCTCCTGCTGAAATGGTATTGCCCTCCAGGGATTACTTAAGGGTGACTGGTGATTAAGTGGTACTGCCCAGAGCTGGGGGGGGGGGGGGGGGGGGGGGGGGGGGGGGGGGGGGGGGGGGGGGGGGGGGGGGGGGGGGGGGGGGGGGGGGGGGGGGGGGGGGGGGTAATGGTGGTGATGGTGGTGGCTGGGTGGTGATGCTAACCACTCACAGCCAGTGAATCTCTGGTATGTGACCACCAAAGGACTGGTTGGACTTCTATACCGCTTGTCTACAGGAACACACACGGAAACCACATCAAAAGTCCCTCAAATTACACGAGTCTGCTGTTTAAGATGCAATTAGTGCATGTACTGCTTTGTTCATTACGCCGTGTTCAAATCAAATTAGAGTTTGGGTGTCTCACAAAAGGGACTGACATGATTACAGCCAAGCTCCAGATACTTCATAATTAGTATTCTAACAAGCACGTACAGTATGTATGAATATGTGCCTGAGAAACTCCATTTAATCTCAGCTAATCCTCACCGAGAGTTTACACATTCAGTTAAAATTTACAAGGGAAAATATGTAAAGGCAGACTCTCATGCATGTGGACATCGCTACGAGAGTTACTGCGGTGCTAATCAGATATTTATGACTGCCACTAACCCTTAGATCAAGTGCTTCCTGCCCTCTGATTGGCTAACCTCCAGCACGACCCCTGACCTGCTGCCTATGAGGTCACAGCAGCTGGGTCATTTATCACAAGTGTCTGTCTCTGGTTTCTCCTTCTTCTCTTATGACTCATTTCACGATCCCCCGTCGTCTTGTTCCTCACCCTTTTCTCACTCCCTGCTTGCTTCATGCATGACAGGAAAACAATGAGACTCAACTCTTGCCCTCATCTGACTCCATGTTAAAGGTTTAACACAGACTAATGCACGGCGACACAGACAGGAGAGTACTGAGACACAGAGCCACTTCAGAGGAAGGATGCACATGTTTGACTAGCGGTGTTAGAGACAAGCATGAGCAGGGAAGGTGTGTGTGTGTGTGTGAAAAAGAGGGTGGGGGAGGTGCAATCCTGCGGTATAAAAACACCCACCCTCGCCAGGCAACAGACAGCTGGAGTGACAAACATGAGGGGCACATGGAGAGAAGAAAGTGAGGAAAGTGAAAGCCAGAGTACATTAAAGGAGGTTTACAACAACAGTGAGGACCACACAGGGCGGCGAGGAGGAGAGATGAGGCGACGAGTGGACACGTGAAAGAGAAAGGAATGAATGGGCTGAAGGAGGTGTGGAGAGGGAACACATGGCTCCTTTAGTTCTGGGATGGGAGAAGGGGAGAGAGAGAGGGTCCAGCTGGCGTGGGGGAGGAGAGAGGAGGGAGACAGGGGAGAGCTGGAGCGGTGATAGTGTAGGGAGGGATAGGAAGAGAGGGAGATGAAGAAAGATGTAGCCCTGTTCTCTTCAACTCGGGTGTTTTCCATCTCAGTTATGTGAGTGGGTCCGAGTGTGAATCATTAATTGTTGCAATGATCTGTTCTGAGAATGATTGTGTGTGTGTGTGTGTGTGTGTGTGTGTTTAAGGGTGAGGTTAAGCGACTCACAGCTGTCCTCCTCCTCAGTGATGGCGCTGACAACATAGCAGGCGTACACGAAGCCGAGGAGCTGTGAACACACAAGCACACAAGAGAGGTTAGACTCCACAGGGCTGGCAGTGAGCGGCTGATAAACAGTTGTGTGTTTGCTTTGATGAACCAAAAAAAAAAAGAAAAAAAAAGAAGAAGAAGGTAATACTGAACATCTGGAAAAGAGTGAGTTTTGAGGGGATGCGGCAACAAATTTGAGAGATGGTGTCTGCGTGCTCTGAGGGCAGATGATGCAATATACTGCAAAGAACAACACTTGAGCTGAAATGATTTGTTGATTATTTGACAGGAAATTAACTGCAATTCATTTAAATAATCAAGAGATTGTTTCAGTCGTTTATCAAGGGTAACTCAAGGGTAAATATCAAGCAAGAAATGTGAGACAATTTACAGCTTTACAGATTCCAGCTTCTTAAATGTGTAGATTTTCTGCTTTTCTCTGTTTTATAAGATTGTAAAGTGAATATCTTAAGGTTATAGAAACAAGCAACATGAAGACATCACTTTGTATTCTGTAGGGGTTTCACAGAATAGGTGACAGCTGTTGACAGCGTGCATTGTTGTAGACTTATCACTTGTCATCTGTGGTTTTAGCACAGCGCAGTAATGGAGCAGTAGCTATGCATCTACAGCAGATAGGGGTGCTGTGAGTAGTGGCTGTCAACATGTCATAGTTGTGAGTTGAGACGGCCTTCTAACAATATAACTTAAGGTGTTGTGGAACACAGATTTGTTTGTACTATAGTTTTCTGTGTTACACCATGTTAAATAAACATAATTTCAAGCATTTAGAGAAGGAAAGACTCCCACTATCCCTGCAAGAAGGCAGTCATAGTTGTATTTAAGACCTTTTTGACAAGAATTGGTCATTGATATTGGGGGAAAAATATCATATACCTCCCATGATTAATTGATTAGTGGACCACTTTTTGGGAGTAGTCGTGGACATTTTAAAAAATACGCTTTAAACATGGGAAAACCCGCTAAAAATAGGCAATAGACTCCTTTCCCATTGCCAGTAGACCAGAGCCGTGTACACGGCTCTGCAGCAGATGTCTGGAGAACAAGTCAGTGAACAGCTGTATAGGGTTGTCATGAGAACCGATACTTCCGTCCCTTTAACTGTAATTATAAGCCAGAGCCTGGTTTAAACCCGATATTCTTTTTAAGGATACAAATGTGGCCATTGAAGGCTGACTCTTGCCTTTCTTTCCATGACAAGCCTTCGTCATGTGCCTCTTAAGTGTCGAGGTCCCCGTCTTTTAGCTGTCATATACCAGCATCGCGCTGCACTTGGTACACTCGACGAAGCCGACACACACGTTGTCACCGTCGATTCCTCACATGTGCACAGCCAGTGGTGCCCTCAATTTCTGTTTTTTTGATTTTTATCGTTGTATCAAATGAGTATCGAGAATCTTGGAAATTCACTGGTATTGTTATCGACTGAAATTCTGGTATCGTGACAAGCCCACAGCAGCAGCATAGAGGCCTGTGAAAATTTTACGGTGGTTATTTCCTTTTATACATCTCTTACGTACTCAGTCTCTCTTTCAAACTCGGCGCAGACTAATTTGAATTGGTGTTTGAGTGCTGCTTGGGTGGAGACGGACAGTATTTTGTGGTGGTGCGTTATTGTATGTCACCGGTAAAGGAGCTAAAATTAGCACGGTCACCTGGGTGTTGCGTTTCCATCGACGCTGATCAGAGCTGAAGCCGATAAATACCTGTGACTACTGTAGAGTCATTTGACCCAGGTGTGAATGCCCATTGTAACCTTTCCATTTACATAAAAAAGCCAGATGTTAGTGGGTGTTATTGGGTTATTTATACAGTGGAAAGGGGGCTAGTAGGTTGGTGAACATAGTAGAGTGTTCAGTTGCCTCAGAGACAGATATTTTCCTCAAAGGTTGGAGAGAAAAGAAGAGTGAATATTGGACTAAGATACATCAAGTGTCTGGAAACAAAGACACAAGGAATACTCAACTATTAACCAAAAGGTTTCCTAAAGGTGATAATAAGTCAGGGTTGGGTTCATAGCTCTACAGTGCTTTACTGTAATATCAGCGCTTGCAATGCTTCAGAAGTTGACAGGGCGTCTAGAGTGTACATATAGTAGTAGCTCATATGCTCAGACGCAACAGACAGCGAGCACACAAAGTGACTGTACACCAATGGACGTGCAGCCAAACAGTGCTTAGAATAGCCTGTAGAACTGGCAGATGGCTGTCATCAACTCAGAAACAGACACAGGGAGAGACAGACACTGAGAGACAGTCTCCCTCCAACCAGCCGTCCATCCATCATTTGGCACTCTGCCATGCCAATTAAAACAGCGTTGGGCACGCTGCCCTCCTCGCACACTGGGTACACAAACACAAAACCCGAGGGGGGATCGACTGTCTGTGATGGTGGCTATTTATATAGCATTCATTCAACCTATAACTTAACTTGCCCTGCATAATTACACAAGGACCAAAGATGACATGCACTTTGCAGGTCTTTCATCTCTATCATTTGGATTTTATTCCTGTTTTTCACATATACAGTACATATGGTCCATATTGAAGTTCATCCAGATGTAGATTAAATGTATTATTTATGAATGAAGCGCAGGTGTGGCGTCTCGTAGAAAAGGGAACGGGTCTGTCTCTGTGTGGGCTAGATAAGACACACTTCTCTCTGCTTCTCTCTGCTCCTCTCTCACTCAGTTTTTTCTCTCTAGTATCTAATTGATGGTCTCACCCCTCCATTACAGTGGCGGTGAAATGGAGGTGAATTAGCATATGTATAAAGCCAGTGTCAAACACAAGATGGTGTTAACAGCAGGGGGCACACCCTGTTTTCAACTGCATTGTGTCTGTGTGTGTTTTTCCTGTAAGAGTGTGTGCCAAGGATGTGTTCGTATGAGTTAATATCTGTGCATGTGTGCATGTTTGTTTAAGGGCTCTGATCGCTGTTGTGGTCTGGGATTGAGTCAAACATAGTGAAGCCAATATGTCACACCAGATGAGGCTTGAGACTGAGGCTATATTCATACTTATACAATTTCATTTTAAAAGCAGTGTTTAAAGTGAAAACTATCTCCGCACAAACAAACCTTTTAGCACTGTTTCAGAAATAATCCCAGTCCATACTTTTGCACCTGAAAACGCACATTACATGACTATTCAAGTATACTCGGCATGCACATGCTGGTGTAAAGAGGAATGAGACTGTCTGCTCTGGGGTTGGTTGCGGGGTTGGTTGAGCAAAATAAAAAATAAAAACAAAAACAAAACAGCAACTGAAAATCCAAAAAGGAGAAGGAAGAAGTGTATACTTATATAATCCTACCCACTTCTCAGTATTCAAAACAACAATTTAGATATTACAAACTCGATCTCAACCAAGCCCAGAGATAAATAAATAAACCAACCCATCAGCATCACCCTCCTCGTCTGCATAGCTCCTAAATATACGGTCTGTATATCTTTTTTTTTAAAGTGCTCTATAGTTGTGCTTCCCTTTAACTCCTCATCTAACCCATTCCATAAATCCACACCACACACTGAAATACAGACTTTTCAAAGTTGTATGAACATGTTTTTTTTTTTTAGATTTAATTGTCCTCTTAAATTATAACCCCCTCCCTGCCACAAAACATTTTTGAGTGTTTTAAATTTAACCAAGCACCCTTTTTTCAATGTATGTGACTTTAAGAACAGTGTGTTTGTGTGCTCCTATATCCAACATTATGTACAATCCTAATGTTTTTTTTATTGTAATATGTGTAATGTATATAAATTGCTTTTATAGGTGTTACCCCAGACCTCCACACAGTAATTAAGATGCAGTAAATTGAGTGAGCAGTAGATGATATATAGTGATTAATGGTCCAGTATGTGTCTTAATTTTCCCATAACTGCAATGCTCCTTGCCAGCTGTGATTGAATGTGACTTATTTGAGGTTTCCAGCTGAATTTGTGATCCAGTACCACTCCCAGGAATCTTAATTTGCAAATATCAATGTATATAAGGTTGAAATTTTAGTACAGGGCTACCCAGAGGTTTACAATCTGTCCAGAGAACAAGTATTTTAATAAACACTTAAAAAATAATGCCTGGAAGAAGATCAGCTCCGAACTCAAGATCTCTGGTAAGCATGCTAGGATACAGAGCTGGTTGTGGTCACTTAGCCATGTCAGGTGCAACCTGCCTCCAGGCCGTCAAAAGTTAGCACAGAGTAGGCAAAAGAGTAGCCCAACCTCGTGTTTTCCTGATTGTAAAAGACATGTCATGTGTCCAGGCCCCAAAATGATCAAGGCAGCAGAGAACATAAAATTGGGAGTTGTTGCAAAGCAAGTACTGTAAGACTGATAAGACCCAAAGAGGAAGTGAATGTGGCTGTCTGAGTCATTGTTTTCAAAAGTCTCTGTTTCTGTATATCCAGGCTAAAATGCAATCTTGGCATTTTCAAACTCACTTGGGGTCAGCAGCATTTTTTTCAAGTTTTAATGGGGTTAAATGTAGCAATACTTACATGTTTTATTATAACTCTTTATTTTAAGTATTTTTAAATGTTTAGACAAAACGGAAACACCATAGAGAACATTGTGTGGGGGCACACCAGTAAAGTAATCATAAGTCCACGTGTTAATGTCCTTTTATTGTCAAGACATTCACGGTGAAGCTGCGTCCATGTCTTCACTCCACTTTCTGAGGAATAATGCTCCACTAGACCTAGTTACATGTCTTAAAACAAAAATGTATTGGTGTAGATGTAGCCTGAGAGAAGTACAGAATGTTTGTGTAGTACATACAATCCAATATCTATGAATGACAGAGTTAAAGGAGGGGAGGAAAGAGTGAGCTTTCATCAAAGAAATGTAGTCGTGAAAACCACAAAGACGCCGAGGTGAGGATGAAAGGAATAATATAAAGTCAGTTTTAAATCTAAAGACGCGCCACCGCCCTGAGAATGAAAACCACACAATACAAGTGACATACACTTTTAGCCTCACTGCACACTCATAAATA